ATTTTGGCTCAGGTTCTACTGATTTCTTGTTTTTCTAAGATCTTGAGATGCATAATTAGATTATTTGCTTGAGATGTCTTTCTCTCTCCCTCTCTTCTGCCCGCCTGACCCCCCCCCTCCCTCCCCCCCCCCCCCCCCCCCCCCCGCCTCTTTGTCTCTCTCTCTCTCTCTCTCTCTGGTGTAGCCATCATTGCTACAGTACTGCTTTTGCTGTGTCCTGCAGTTTGATTCAAGGAATTTTTGTTTCCCTTCTGATTTCCTCAATGACTCATTGTTCATTCAGTAGTGTCTTGATCCATACCCATGTGTCTATATAAATTCTGAGATTTATCTTGCTGTGGATTCATAGTTTCATTCCACTGTGATCAGATAAGATAAAAGAAATTACTTCATAGTTTTCAATTTGATAAAACTTGCTTTGTGGCCTAATATATGGTCTATTGGGGCAAAAACCCCATGTACTGATGAAAAGAATGTGTATCTGCAGCTGTTAGATGGGATGTTCTATAGATGTCTATTGAGTTGATCTAATCTACCGTATAATTTAACTCATATATTTCTTGGTTGACTTTTTGTTCTGATTCTATTGGTAATAGTAAGGTATTGAAGTTTTACACTATTATTGTATTGGGGTCTATCTCCCTTCATATCTAGTAGTATTTGCTTTGTAAAATTACAACACACATGCACATATAGATGTATATGTATATATGTGTGTGCATATACAGTGGTTTGTGCATATATATTTATGATCACTGTATTGTCTTGATAAATTGTTCTCTCAGTGAATATATGGTACCTTCTTTGTCTCTTCTGATTTTTGCCTGAAAGTCTATTTTGTCAGAAATAATAACCTCTCCTGCTTGCTTTGAATTCCATTTGCTTGGAATATACTGTTTTCAGTCTTCTCACTTGCACTCTTGTGTTATGGTTTGGATAACCCCCAAAAGCTCCTGTGTTAATGCAGGAAAGTTTGGAGGTGAGAAGATTGGATTGTGGGAGCTGGAACCTAATCAGTTTATCCTAGTTTGAATGGGCTAAGTGGTAACTTTAAGCAGTTGGGGCATGACTGGAGGAAGTGGGTCATGCTCACACATTAGGGGTTCATGTTCAGCCCTAGAGGGGTTCATCTGTGTCCCTTCCCCTCTCTCTCTCTCTCTCTGTGGTTTCCAGCCGCCCTGTCCTGATCAGCTCGCCTCGCCCATGTCCTTCCACCATAATGTGCTCCTTCACCTTGAGCTCAAAGCAGTGGAGTCAACCTACTATGAACTAAATCTTTCAAATCATGAGCCAAAATAAACTTTCTCTCCTCTAGGTTTTTCTTTTCAGGCATTTGGTCCCAATGACATGAAACTGATTATCACAGTCTGTTTCTCATTGCAGTTGGGGTTAGTTTCTTGTAGGCAGCACATTGTTTGGACCATATTTTAAAAATTCATTTAGCCAGTCTGTGTAAGTAGAGATTAAGACCATTTACATCCAGGGTTATTATTGAAGGTGAACTTATTACTGTAATTTGTTTTTTTTTTTCCTTCTTTTTCCTTTTTGTATATTCTATGTTCATTTCTTATCTTAAAAGTTTGATGTACATTGACAAATTGGATGCTTTCCTATTTCTTATTTGTGTGTCAACATTTCTAGTGGGATTTATTTTTTTTTCATGTGCTCTTCTGATTGTGTTAATCTTTCTTTCTCTCCTTACAAGGTTTCTTCAAGTATCTTTTGTAATGCTAGTCAGGGGTTCTTGAATTTCCTTAGCTTATGCTTATCTTGGAAGGTCATTATTTCTCCTCCAATTATGGATATAGCAATTTTGGCTGAGGTTATTTTCTTTCAGGACTCAAAATACATCATTCCATTCCCTTCTGGTCTTTAGATTTTCTGCTGAGTAATTTGCTGTTAGTTTAATTGTTTTGATTTTAAATGTGAGTTGTTGCTTCTCCCTTACAAATTTTAATTTTTTTTTCTGTATCCTGTACTTTTGGCAATTTCACTATAACATGCTGTGGAGAGGTTCTTTTCTGGTCATGTCTATTTGGGGTTCAAATGCCATTTTTACTTGGATATTTATGTCTTTCCCAAGATTTGAAAAAAATGTTCTGATATGATTTAGTTGGATAGGTTTTCCATACTCTCAGACTGTAGCTTTTCTCTATCAAATATGCCAATTATGCAGACATTTGATCTTCTAATAGTTTCCCAGAGATCTTGTATGGTCTAGTCATTCGTTTATTGATTGTTTTTGTTCTTTCTATTGATATTGACTCTGTTACTTCAAAGAGATTCCAATTATAGTTAAGGGCCTGAAGCTCTTATGCTCTATTTAGATATTGGTGAAATTCCTTGTGTTTCATGTGGGAAGGTGAGGGCAGGTCCACAGCTCCTGCTCTTTATCATGACTCACCTAAAGTGGTCAGTGATGTACAATCTACAAGGTGTGAAAGTGACCCGTGAGGAAGACCCTTATAGGCATGGTGGCTACAACAGTCGTGTTATTTCTGCCTGAGGTTTTTGAGGGTTTTGTGGGTGTGACTGCCCTCAAAAACAGTTATGGGGGAGGTCAGACTCCCCTAGCTGTGCCCACTGAAGACAAGATTTGGCCCCTTGGACTTTCTGTGTTTCAGTTGAAGTGTGTGCCAGCGTTCAAGCAGGGGTAGGTCATGACTAGAGCAAAGTGTACTGGGCGTGTCGCTCAGTGGCAGAGCAGCCATCCGATATTTGTGAATCTCGAGCTCAGTTTCTGGCACTATAAAAAAAAAGTGTTGAAAAATAAGATTAATAACAACAGTAAAGAACGGGGGAATGAAATAAAGCGAAAAGGTAAAAAATTTAAAATTGAAAAATTGAACAACAAATAAAAGAAACTAGAAACATGAAAAGGGGAAATGAATAAAAAGAGAAAAAAAAATTACGAAGAGGAAAAAAGAAAAAAGTCTAAATAATAATTTCCTCCCCACCAAAGTACTTGATTGAGGTGGGGGAGGAGGAGAATGAATAATAACACAACCTATGCTGATAAAAGCCTCTCTCTGTGTCTTCCTAAGCTGTGTTGCCCATGGACAGAGCAAAGGCTAGAGGTTACTCAACCCCCAGTTTTTTTCTGTTGTGGTGCTTTCCAGGTGACTGGTGGCACTGATTTTTGACTGAACATTAATTGGAATTTCTCTCAGCTTATATAGAGAAGGAAGCCAAGGATTCCAAAGATTGAGGATTGCAAGTTGAGGCCAACCTGGACAATTTGGCAAAATCCTATCTCAAAATATTTGCTTACCCCATCAAAGTAACAATGACCTTCTTCATAGAACTAGGGAAAAAATCAGTCCTAAAATTCATTTGAAAGAATTAAAGACCCAGAACAGCCAAAAGCAATTCTAAGTTAAGAAAGTAAAGCTGAAGGCTTCACAATACCTGACTTCAAATTATACTACATAGCTATAGTAACAAAAACTGCATGATACTGACATAAAAACAGACACATAGATGAGTGCTACAGAATATAAGGCACAAAGACAAACCCACACCCTACAATCATCTGATCCTTGACAAAGATGCCAAAAACACATATTGGAGAAAAGCAACTTAATCCCAAAAGATTCACCTGAATATTTTTTTAAATGTTAGTTAAAGTAAATGTAACTTTATGGGTGAAATTTACAATAGCATAAAAAAGTGAAAAGGAAAAAAAATTCAGGAAGAGAGCCCTTAGCTTTTGGCCAATCTCATCCTTCTTTGTGGGTCGATGAGGATTTTGGTTAAGTAACACCAATAAAAGGTCCTGAACAAGGTCTTAGGTTCAATAGGAGCCCAGAACTTGATATTCTTGTCTCATCGGCCTTCTAAGAATTGGAACCTCAGAACCTTCATGGTGCTTTTTCAAACTCCTGTGCTTCACAGCAAAGCTAGGAATCTGAAGTGACTGTACCATAATGCAGTCACATCAATGTATATAGCAGCTCAATTCACAATAGCTACACTGTGGAAGCAACCTAGATGCCCTTAATAGATGAATGGATAAAAAAAATGTGGGTACTTAGACACAATGGAATATTACTCATCATTAAAAGGGAATAAAATTATGGTATTTCCAGGTAAATGGATGGAGTTCGAGAACATCATACTAAATGAAGTAAACCAATCCCAAAAGACCAAAGGCCGAATTTTTTCTCTGATATGTGGATGCTGATCCAGATTGGGGGTTGGGAGCTACAAGGGAAGGGAAGAATAGAGAGACTTTGGATTGGGTGGAGGGGAGTAAGGGAAGGGGAGGAGCATGGGAGTGGGAAATATGGTGGAATGAGAAGGACATCATTACCCTATGTATATATATGATTGCACACAAATGATGTGACTGTACACTGTATACAACCAGAGAAATGAAAAGTTGTGCTCCATATGTGTACAATGATTTGAAATCATTCTGCTGTCGTGTATAACTAATTAGAACAAATATAAATAAATAAATAAAGTGACTATCACTTATCTCAAGACAGTCATTTTAAAAATGGGAAGATTCATCTTACTGTGACTTACTAAGTTTCAGGTAAAGTTGTGTGGATCTAGAACCTGTTGGCTTAGCATTGCCACGGTCTGAAAGTCTGTGTATCCCCCACATTCATATGTTGAAAGCTGTCCTCCAAGTTTATAGTATTAGGAATTGGGGACCTTTAGGTAAGGCCCTCATGAACATGAATTGTGTCTCTTATAAGGGTTTAGTGTCCTTTTAAGAGAAACCCCTGAGAGCTAATTTGTCCCTTTAGCCATGGCATGACACAGCTAGAAGGTGCCAGAAAGCAGGTACTCACCAGACACTGAATCCACCTGGGTCTTTGTCTTGGGCTTTCAGGGATCCTGAAGTGTAATAAATGAGTTCCTGTTGTTTGTAAGCCATCCCGTTTGTGGTGCTCTGTTGTGGCAGTCCAGACAGATGGCAACAAGCATTTTCCCATTCGTGACTTTTCTTGTTGTAGTTGCTGTCTCTTGAGGCTAAGATTCCTGCCAAGATGCTCCACTTGCAGGGTCCACAGATGCTGCAGCTGCTGGAGAAGTCCTTGCTGAAGCACCTCCCTGAGTCCTTAAAGGTGAGAGTGGGACATTCTCTGGGAAACAGAGAGCTGCATCTTACGATGACAGAGGTGGGAAGGAACACAGCTTTTACAGAGCACCTACGCAGTGTCAGGAATGCACTTGTGTTGTACCTCAGGAAGTTCATATCACCCCTTTGAAGGGATCCACATTACACTCACATCCAAGAAGAGGAAACAGGTTTCACTAAGGTGAAGTCAATATTAAAAAAAATATATTGCTATGCATACTACAGGGACACAGCCACATCAATGTTTACAGCAGCACAATTCTCAATAGCTAAATGGTGAAACCAACCTAGATGCCCTTCAGTTGATGAATAATTAATGAAAATGTGCATATATATACAATGGAATACTATTCGGCATTAAAAGAGAATAAAATCAGGGCATTTGCAGGTAAATGGCTGGAGTTGGAGAATATAATGCTAAGTGAAGTTAGCCAATCCCAAAAAAACCAAATGCCAAATGTTTTCTCTGATTTAAGAATGCTGATTCATAGTGGGGGAGAGGAGCATTGGAGGATTAGATGAACTATAGATAAGGCAAAGGGGTGGAAGAGGAAGGAAGGGTGTGTGGGGGTAGAAAAGATAGTAGAATGAGATGGACAGATTACCCTAAGTACAAGTATGAAGACACAAATGGTGTGACTCTACTTTGTATACAACCAGAGATATGAAAATTTGAGCTCTATATGTATACTATGAATTGTAATGCATTCTGCTGTCATACATAACAAATTAGAATTTAAAAAAGAATAGGCCTATTGATCAAAACTGTTACCCATATAATATAGCCATATTGAATAATTTCAATCATTTGAAGTCCCTGTGATCATAAAATGTAATGAGGTAAACAGAAAATTCAAAACTATATTCTATAGTAACAGAGGCTATGTCAATAAAAAATACACCTTCAGATCATATTTTGGAAAGGTTTTTAATTTTATTAATTTTAAAAAGCTATCAATTTTCTCTCATTCTTAGCTAATCAGAAGGTTTATCTGGTTTAAATATATCTGCTAGTAGACCTTTGAATGAAAGGTCTTTACCCTTGCATTATGATGATATTATTTCAATTGTTTTCTGACAGAGAAGTTTGCTATTATTCTAATTAACATTTATTGGTTGGAAATCTGGTTTTAAAAATTTTGTTTATTCTCTTCATATTTAATATTTTGCAATTTTGTCAAAATCTTTCCATTTATATATATATTAAACACAATATATACATATATATACGTATATATCTTTGCTAACTAAAAATACTGGGGTTCAGTAGCGCACACCTGTAATTCCAGCAGCTGGGGAGGCTGAGGCAGGAAGATGGAAGTTCAAAGCCAGCCTCTGCATGTTAGTGAGGCCTTAAGCAACTTAGTGAGACCCTATCTCTAAATAAAATATTAAAAAGGGCTGGGAATGTGGCTCAGTGGTTAAGCACCCCTGAATTCAATCCCCAGTAACAAAACACAAACAACAACAACAACAAACAAAACAAAACAAAAAAACCAACACCAAAAAAATTTCACTGTTGGGCTGGAGATATAGCTCAGTTGGAAGAGTGCTGGCACAAGGCCCTGGGTTCACTCACTGCCCCCCCCCCCACCAAATGTCATTGTTTACTTTCAAAGAATCTTTCACAATGACACTGGAAATTTCCTGATTCTTCTTTAAAAGGTTGACTTAAGTACATAATAATTTTTAGATATTTGTGTCAGATGAGAAGCTAACTACCATGTATTTTCTTGGAATAGGTCACATCTTATTTCATTAAAATGAAAAAATAAAAATAAATAAATAAAAGAGGGAGACCTAGAAATGATTATACAATGCAACAAATTTGTTGCAAAAGGGTTTGATTATGCACCTTTTACTTATTTTACATTTTCTAACATTTGGTCAATTATGAAAGTAGTAACTTATTTAAAAAAATCTCTTTCTTCCAATTAAAATTAGAGCTAAATTTATTCAGAACAGGCCAGCGCCAGAGCCAACTGGGACCCAAGGGACAGAAGCAGTGGTAACAACAGCAAGCTCTTACTTGGCATTACCATATACCATCCACTAGACTTTATTTATGAATTCATATGAACTTAAAAACACTCCCAGGAAAAGGATATTGCTGTTCTCCCCATGTTGAACAAGATGGGTTTAAGGCAGCAAGAACTTGAATAACTTGCCCAGCTGTGGCTAGAAATAGAATTCACACAGTCCATTTCAATTCCCCTTAACCCATTTCAACTCTCATTTGAGCAAAACAGGAGTCCAAATCCCAAATTCTGGCCAAGAATTCAGAGAAAATGGATCACTAATTTGTTGCTAATGGAAATTTGAAATGGTACAGCCATACCAGAAAAAGGGTTTGCAAGTTTCTTTAAAAACTAAACATGTAACTATTATGCAGCCAGCAATTACACTCCTGAGACATTGCCCCAGAGAAATGCAAGTTAATATTCACACAAACAGAAATACATGAATGTCTATAAGAGCTTGATTTAAAATAGCAAAAACTGGAAACAACCCAGATGTTCTCCAGTGGGTGAAGGATTAAACAAACTATGATACATCCATACTCTGCACAAATACAGAGCAATAAATAGAAATCCACTGTTGATACTTGCATAATTCTCTAGATGAATTAAGCCAATCCCAAAAGCTTATGGGAAAAGTCAGTTCCAAAAGTTTGCACTGATTCCACTTATATAAAATTCTTGAAGTGAAAAAATTGCAGAAATGGAGCATAGGTTAATGGTCACCAGTGGGTGAGGAGTAGGTGAGGAGTAGAGAAGTAACAGAATTGATTATAAAAGGGCCACAGGAAGGATCCTTGTGGAAATTGGATCAAAATTTCCTTGATCCAAGGAAATTAGTGAGTCCTTATCTCACTAATATATTTTGTGAGCATGTATTTTGACACATAGTATTTTGTAGATAGATATTTTGACATACCATACATACATAGAGTAAAACGTACCATTTTGTGGTTGTACATGGTGTGGAGTTACAATGATCATGTATGTATTGGTCGTATTTTACTATATGGATATCTTTTAAAGATATTTTTATTCAAGCAAACAAGTAGAACCAAAGAGCCATTTGACAGAGACATATGTTAGGTACCTTCCAATCTTAAAAAAATTCATGACTTCATAGAAGAAGCAAGCCTCCTTCTGGTCAAACACATGCTCTTCACTATCTCTGTGTAACGTGCTGATACTCCTATTTTGTTGAAATGTGTAGGTGTATGGAACTGTCTTCCACATAAACCAGGGGAACCCATTCAAGCTTAAGGCCCTGGTGGACAAATGGCCTGATTTTAATACTCTGGTTATTCGTCCTGAGGAGCAGGTAAGTTGCCCAGTGAGAATGAATATGGCTCTGTGTTCATGTCTGCCATATGTGTACCAGGAGCCTGGCAATAGGGTAGACCCCAGGGAAACAGAAAGGAACTATAGTGATGCCAACTCAAGAAGCTCACATGCTGGAGAACAGAAGCTCCTAAACGAATTCACCCTGGTGTGAAATGGGCAGAAACAGAGGTAATAAACAAAACACAGTAGAAGCACAGGGAGAAAGTCTGTGATTCACTTTCATCCTTCTTCATTATTTTATTTTGTTTACAAGCCAGTCCCCCAAAGAGAATAAAATCATGGCGTTTGCAAGTAAATGGATGGAGTTGGAGAATATAATGCTAAGTAAAGTTAGCCAATCCCAAAGAACCAAATGCCAAATGTTTTCTCTGATTTAAGGATGCTGATTCATAATGGGGTGGGGAGGGTAGAAGGGAATGGGAAGACTAGATGAACTCTAGATAGGGCAAAGGGGAGAGAGACGAAGAGAGTGGGCATGGAGTAGAAAAGACATGGAATGAGATGGACATCATTATCCTAAGTACATGTATGAAGACACAAATGGTGTGACTCTACTTTGTGTACAACCAGAGATATGAAAATTGTTCTCTGAATGTATAATATGAATTGCAATACAGTCTGCTGTCATATCTAACAAATTAAAATTTAAAAAAATAAATTTTAAAAAAGATGTAGTAAATTTAATCAGTTGGAGAAGCTGCTGCTACTGATGATTTGAGAAGTAAAGCTTTTTATTAAAACACATTGTATGATTAAAAGAGAGAGAGAGAGCATTTCCTAGGCTAGATTTCTATATTGTAATAAATCAGATCCTAATTTCATTTTCAATTGTTAGCCTAAGGTGAAAAATATTTCCTGTGTTTGAAAACCACCAGTCCTGGAGTCATACCAACTCATTCATACTAAATCACAAACTCTTACTGAAAGGCTCTTCCTACTGAGATGCAGGACTGCCTTGTAACCAAGCGTCCACAGTGAAGTCAGTGAAACAAAGCAGAAGAAAAAGTACTACCTGAGGTAGATGTTACAGGGAGAGAGTCAGAGTTGCTTCCTAGTGAAATTTTTACTAAAACACAGTGTTGAACACAAATTTTTAAAAACTTTTAAGGGAAGGCAGGAAAATTGCTAGTGTGATCCATGGTGTTATAGCTGAATAGCAAGTGTATTTTTGTTTAATATTTCTTGATATTGGAAGATTAAAAGGACTTATAAATGAGGCTACACTGGTTGAAGTAATTTTTTTTTCTTTTTTCTGTTCCTTCATATTCAAATAATCCTATCCTGGTTTCAATAAATTTGCTAGATGTGTTTGAATATCTATGTTTATGAATGCAGTTGTTCATTTGCTTGATGGACTTGGAGTTTGTTTAACAATGTCTTTTCTTTTTTTAAAGAAGGCATATTGAGTTCAATATCTTTTTATTTGGTTTTATCATTTATAGATGTCTAATCTACCCTGTTATCTATATGAATTATAATAAGGACATGTGCATAGTCCAAAGCAAAACTTATTCTTTTAACTAGAGATTTTTCTTTCTTCTCGGCTGTTATTTTAGCTCTTCTACATGAGTTTTATGGAGGTATAGGAAAATGGTTTTGATTGAATTACTTTGAAATTTCAAAGCAACAGTAGAGTTAGGATATTTTTCATTTTTAACTGTATAAGGGAGTCCTTGACTTGATCCTAAATAATTTATAAGTAAAGGCAAAAAATGCTAATTTTTGTATTTTAAAATATCATGATATAAGGGAGTACTGACAATCATCAACTACAAACATTTTGGCTGATTCTTCTTTTCTTAACCCCAACAGGAAATGACAGATGACCTTGATCACTACACTAATACTTACCAGATCTATTCCAAGGATCCCAAGAACTGTCAGGAATTCCTTAGCTCACCGGAAGTCATCAACTGGAAGCAACACTTTCAGATTCAAAGTAAGAACTGGAATTGTTCTGGCTGCTGGAATCTCCTGCCTGAATACACTTGTGGGGTCACTTTTTATTTTGAATAAGCACCTTGCACACCACAGTATCTTTCCTCCAGGATCCAGACACTCATTCTTCTGTCCATTCCTGAAGCCACTCCCTCCTTAGTGAAACGGGTTGATGCAGTATATAAGGTTTAAAAAGGAAATTTTGAGTAATATGTTTTCCTAGGAGCTAAGGACTCATGATTTACTCTCCGGAGTGTCCAGGACCTATTAAAGAACATGGGGATGGGAGCAAAACTTTTGTTCCGTTTCTGTTTTTTCACACTGTCAAATTCACAAAGGAGTATCTTGGTAAGTAAGAATATGCTCTCTGGAGTCAGATTATCAAGACTGCAGCCTTGCTGGTGCTGTTATTAGCTGAATGATGTAAGGTAAGTAACAACCTCTCTGTGAGTCAGTTTCCTTATGCATAAAATATTTATTGAGTATAAAATAAAACTGAAAAATAGAGTCCTTGAGGGTTAAATGAGACCTTGACTGGGAAATGCTTAGCAGTTAGATTTTTCAGACCTTCTCAAAGTAGCAATTTAAGGCCACCATCATTTATTAGCTCACAATTGTGGGAGTTAGCACTTTGGGCTAGGCTCAACTAGGTTGTTCGCTAGTCTCACCTAGAGTCACCGTGTGGCCATAGTCAGCTGGAGGGTCATCCATGAGCTGGTAGGACCAGGTTAGTCATGGTCCCAAGCCTGCCTGTGACACTAGCTTTGTTTGCACTGTTTTTTTTTTTTTATTACAGTGATAGAAATAGGCTGGGCAACACGTAAAGTTAAAAGGGCACTGTATTAGTCAGGGTTCTCTAGGGGAACCGAATCAACAGGAAGTATAAAAAGCAGACTTATTAAGTTGGCTTCATGCCCAGAAGCTGGATAGTCCATAATGGGAAGAACCAGTGGCTGCACAGTCCACGAGGCTGAAGCGCCAGAAAAGAGGGATCTTAGTGAGACCAAAGGTTTCTGGAGAATCCACTTTGCAAGAGTGAAAAAGCGAGAGTCGGACATCCTCAGAGAATCCCAGCAGTAATCAAGAACCCGTTGAAGAAGAATGGAGCTTGCATCTGCTTCTGCTTCCTTGTTCTTTCAACTTTTATTCCATCCAAGACATCATCCTATTGGTCGGTGCTGCCCACGCTTAGAGAGGGTCTCCATTTCAGTTGGGTATCCCACATGCCAATCATTCCTGGACACACCCTCATCAACACACCCATAATCCTCTTCATCCTTGGCATCTCTTAATCAATTTGACAATTCAAATTAACCATTACAGGTACTGAGGGGCCAAAAGACAACATTGTAAAGCTTCTTACTAAATCACATTTGCTCTCATTCCGTTGGCCAAGCCGTATTAACTGGCTATGTCCAAAGTCATTTCAGAGAGACAATCAGATTAGTTAGGTAGGAATAATCTGGGACCATTATAGCAACAATCTATTGCACGGTGCCTAGAAATTGACCAGTAAATTTTAGTTAATATCTCTACACCTCATCTCCTTTGGTCACCTTTATTGTCCCGTGATGTATTCAAGACCTGTGATATTATGCTAATTTTAAATTTTAAAATATATGGGAGTGATGTAACTGTTTTCATCTAACGCCTATATCATGACTGAACATGTGATTTGTTAATTCTGTCCACATACCTTCCGACTCCTTTGGGCAGTTTTTCCCAAACATTAATGGAGGATGAAATCTCATATGATGCCTTGCTTTCCCCCATCTAGGCTTACAGGCCAGCCTGGATAAGGTGATAAAAAACCTTGTAGCCATTCATTCGGGCCAAGTCAAGCACACACAATGCTTTCTCTACTTGGTACATGACACAGCAAAGAAACTGGCTCCTTCGCTGCTGGATGGAAAGAACGCATCTCCCGATGGTGACAAATCCAAGTCCCTGTAAGTCTGATAGGAGCCAAGCTGCACCATTCAGTTGTCACCACTGAAGTTGTCTCCTGTGTTAGGGTTCCAGGACTGTCAAAAATATTAACACAAACTGGAAGGGGCTTCAAACAACAGAATTTCATTCTCTCATGGCTATGAAATCTAGAAGTCCCAAATCAAGGTGTGAGCAGGGCCATTCCCCCTCTCAGGTCCACAGAAGAGAGTCCTTCCTTTCCTCCACCAACTTCTGATGCCTCTGTCTAGATGTTGCATCGCTGTGGTCACGAAACAATCACTGTCACTTGGCATTCTCCTCTGTGTGTCTTCTCCTCTTTTGTCTAAGGACACTTGCCATTGGATTGATAATCCACAGGATAATCAGGACAACTTCATATTGAGATTCTCAACTTAAGGATCCTTATATCTTCAAAGATGATTTTTCTAAACAAGATCACATGCACAAGTGCCAGGTGAAAGTACTTTTTTGAGGGACTACCATTTAACCTGCTATCCTTTCCAACTTCTCTCCCAGCTTTTGTTCTGACCCCCTTGGGTCTGTTTTCTGCAAAGTAGCCTAAGTCATCTTTTTAAAATTTAAATAAAACCACGTGCCTCTCCTGCTTAAAAGATTCCCAATACTTTCCATCTCATCTTGAAATACTTCTAAACTCTTTCTCAGCCCTGTAAGAGCCGGTATCCATTTCCTTTCAGAGATCTCCTCTTGTTTATTTCCTCCAACAACCCTGGCCTACCTCTTGTCAAAAAATAAAATTGCAACAAAAAAAATTTAGTTTAAAGATATTAATTGACCTTTATTTGTGGTTCTGGAATCGAGCAACCTCTTGTTCTACAAAACAGAGTAAGTGTTCCAATGGGGTAGACTGAAGAGGTTGGTTTTCTAGACAGAGAAGATTTCAAGAAAGCAGAAACAAAGAACAAAAAGCAGATTGGCTCATTTCAAAATTGTTTTCCTAGTAAGGTAGGCATAGGGAGACAAAACAATAGAAAAATATCTGGTTAACATCAGGCGACTTTTTGTAAATATTAAAGCCATTGAAATCCAGCTGTATGAAAAATTGGTGGTTACTACTCTCTCTCTCCCCTGAGATCAGATAACAATTTGTTCTAGGTTTGGTGACCTGGAACTTTAGTACTAGTGATCATATTTTTGGTTTTTAATCTGATCTGTGGAGCCCAGTGCAAAACTTAGTTCATAATAATGGTCTCCTGTAATTTTTATTGAACTCTTCCTACTTGATCATCACAAGCTCAGGCCCTTTGAATTAGCTCTTCTCTCTGAAATGTCTCTCTCTCACCCACCCAATATTTACACCCAGGATTTCTTTCGTTATCCAAGACTATTCACCGCTCTCCCCACCCCCGTTAGTCAAGTCACTTCCCAGTTATTCTGCACACGTGACCCAGTTTTGTTTTCTTCGTTGTGCTTATGATTATTTAATATTGGCTAGTTTACTTATTTGCTGTTTAAATCCTACCCCAACAATATTGCAAATCTTATAGGAGCAGGAATCTTGCCCTCTGTTGTTCACTGATAGATTCTCATCAGCTCATATAGTACCTGGCATATAGTGGGTGCTTAGTATGTTTAATGAATTCACTTCATGAAACAAATGGGTTCCAATAAGAATAATTTGAACAAATCATCTATTCTTTCCCACTGAAGTTTTAGTGTAATTGAGAATAGAATTAAAAGTTTTGAGTGGAGATTTGATCTCGAGATGCTCAGCCCTATGGCCTTCTGAGCTTTTGTGTCAGGAAAAGTTTTACTCACTTAGTAAAGGACATTACAACCGATAAAGCACCTCCATGTCTAAAGTCTCAAAGGATCCTCGTGACCCTTTGAGATAGACAGGAAGGAGGCATAACTTTCATTTTCTCCATGGAAAGCAGGTGCTGATGATGGAGTGGTTGCTCACCATGTGGACGGTGAAGGACATAACTGGAGCTTGAGAATAGATCTTCTAGTCCCTCATCCAGGGCTCTTTCCAGCATGTTCCCCTGGCCCCTTTACACACTGTAGAAATCTTCAGACTTATATGTTCTATAACATGGTGTCCTTCTCGGGACTACACTTTCTCATTTGTTCAACACAATAGCCAAGGTCCTCAGACACCAACATTCTAAGGTTCCACAATTCTAAACAGAGACTTTCCTGCTTGCTAGCAAATTTTCTATGCCACTTTTCTATGTCAAATGGGGATAATCACACCTGAGCTAACTACCTTGCAGGGTTATAGACAAAACCAAATGAAACACTGTAAATAATTTTTATCTGCCTGGTGCTGGATCTAATCACCAATAAACACTGGCTCATTGAAGCCTAATGGTGATTTTCTAAGGAGGTGTGTTTATCATCTCTAGTCACCAGATGAGAAAAAGGAGAAAGTGAGAGATTAACTGATCAAGCCAAGCCACACAAGCAGTTTTGATAGGAACCAGCAGTCTGGTTATGACTTTAGATAGGCTTCTGTTTGCCTCTCGGGACAATTTGAGGGGAAACGAAATGTTTCACAATGTGTGTGACAATAAGGATTGGTCTTTTCCCTTGTTCTCAATAGCGACCAAGAGATGTTTAAACACTCAACCCTGGATATTACCCATGCTGCCTTGGTGAATAAATTCTGGTATTTTGGTGGCAATGAAAGAAGTCAGAGATTCATTGAGCGCTGTATCCGGACCTTCCCCAGCTTCTGTCTGCTGGGGCCTGAGGGGACCCCTGTGAGCTGGACCATGATGGACCAGACTGGAGAGCTGCGAATAGGAGCTACTGTGCCTGAGTACCGAGGTCAAAGTCTCCTTTATCACATCGCCAGATGCCAGATCCAGACTCTGGGAAAACTTGGCTTCCCCATGTATGCTCATGTGGACAAGGCCAACCACATCACACAACGAGTGACCCTCAGGCTGGGTAATATCCCCATGCCCTGTGACTGGAACCAGTGGAACTATGTGCCTCTGTGAAAGTGGCCCTGGACATAAGACAGTAATGAGTGGCTTTGCATGTGGCTGGAGAAGAGGATGGGTAAATGGGTAATGGAGTGGACTGTGAGTTCGAGGAAATGGAGATGAGTGATGAACAGCAGAACCGGGGTCCCTGCCCTCAAATGCCCCATGAACTTTGCTTTGCTTCCTCAGCATGAAATTGAACCAGTACCCTACTCCCAGGCTGGCTCAGCTCCCACATTCTCAGGGTCCCTGCAGGTGTTTCTATGTTGCTCTCCTAACTCATGGACCCTTGTGCATTTGCCAGGAAGTGGGTTCTATGATTTCCCCCTCTGGCTTCCTATAGCTTTTCTTTTATTGGCTGGAGAATAGCCTGTTTCCTGAACAGGTCTTTTGAAAAATCATTCTTTTCCAGACTTCCTAGGCCTTGAAATATATTACAGACATGCACAATATACACAAATACATCACACATGAAATATATTACACACAGGCACAATATACACAAAGCAATAATGAGAATAATTAAGAAGACACTCAGAATATTTTTGCAACGAGTATTAATATCTTTTGCAATGAGTTATCTTTTGCAATTCATACCCCAGGAAGGGTAATCTGACATTGCTTCTAGAGGCTGAGCTTCCTTAATCCCCCACCCTCCGTGATTCTGTCATAATAAAGAGATTCTAAAATCAGAAAGATGATTTGATTCTTTGGTTGTGGAAGCTTAATCTACATGGTTCATGAGGGGATACGGATGTAGGGAGAGGAGAAAGTGAGAAGACTCAGACCAGGGAGATGGATATTTATTATCAGGCACAGGCCTGTGGGAGGCTTTGTACAGGATTGAGACCGGGTTCCACCTGGTAGCAGCACACTGCTTTGAGATACCTGAACCCTGTGCAGTACAAGCAAGAGCCATGTAGGAATCTGGTTGATAAAGGAGGTCACCAGAAAAGTCATCTCTGAGTCTCCCTAGAAGACTGTCCAACAGTGCTAGAGAAATAACACCCACTGAAAGGAGAAAAGAGAGAGACCCTCACCAAGTTGGGACTTGAGTTCCTCACAGCTCAATTCCTCCACACTTGAACACCAGCGAAAACAGCCCCCCAGAACTGTCCTGAAGTCATTAAGAGAAGAAGGGCTTTATGATATGGATGTAAAGAGAGGAGAGCCTCCTGATGTGGAGCAACAGAATCCACAACACTAGAGAGAAAGAGAGATCCCATCACTCCCAGCCTACAGAAACCATATCTTTAATCTCAGTAGGGAATGTTGGCTTGCATTATCCGTCAGATAACAGTCAAATAAAGTTATCTGAAAACACTGCAAATATAGGCATTGAAAGCCTCCTGTAACAGGGAGTAGGCCATTAGTTCCTCCAATCCAAAACTTAAAGCCTGAGGCTATTGGTCCTGTGGCTCCAAGCAATTATTTAAGAATTTCTTCAAAGTCTGCACTCAGTTTGCTGTGAATGACAGAATATCTACTTTCTCCCCTAGGCTAAAGCTGCCAGAGGAGGATAAAAATACAAGGATGCTTTCTACTCCTTTAAATTCATTTTCAAAAGTTCATTTTGATAGGGGCTTTCTTATTCTACTCCCAAATCTGAAACTTTTAACAATTTCTTTTAAGAACCTGTAGGTTGTGTGTAGATTCACTTATAAATTTAGTTTTCATTAAGTAATTTTAAATGTTCCAAATTGTATTTATAGATTTTGTTTTCCTTATAAAGATTTTGATTCTCTGGTCCTAAACAGCACCATCCTAAAAGATAAATAATTCTTAAAAGTCTATTAAGCAAATAAAAATAAATCAAGATTCCAATAATGGTGGGAGCTGGGAATTCTTTCGAGAATCTCCACTGCAACTCCACCGCCATGGCTCCACTAGGCATTGGCCCCACTGAAGCCACCTCTGTCCTTTGTCAAACCTCTTTCTGACCTTCCAGACTTTCCTTTGAAATTGCGGTGAAAGCTGCCATGACCCCACAGCTCTTGCCTTCTGCATACCTGCGAAACCAGCATCCCGTGGCTGCCAAGGTGGACTTCAGGCATGAGCTGTACCTGGGCCCACTTGAACCATGACTGTGAGCTGAGAAAGAAATCCCAAGTCCATGGAAAGTGGCCTGGACTCAATTCCCGAACAGCTTTGTCCAAGAAGGCCTCTGGGCGTCTGATGGAACGGGCAGCCTTAAAGATTTCTAATATACCCTTAAGGGCTTTTCCAGATGGTCCTGATTCTCAGCATTCCTGTTGATCTCTTTAGGAGGCTGATGTATGGCCACGCCATCCTCTCCCAAAGATGCATCTTTGCCAGGCTGCAAAGTTTCCAAATCTTTCTGCTCTGTGCCCTTTCACTCTCAAGTCTCTCTGTAAATGCCATTAATAGCAAATATACCCATGCCACAGCCTGAATGCTTTGCCATTCAGACATTTCTTTCACACAGATCTTAGATCATATCCTGTAAATTTGGCCTTCCATAAAGCTCTAGAGCATGGAAACGATGCAGCTATGTTCTTTGTAATGGTGTAACTGGGATGACATATTTTCTAACTACCAATTGATCCTCATTTCCATCTGAGACAAGTTCCTTAGTCTCCTCATCTTCTGACTTCTCCATAGAATTGCCTGTAATATTCTGCATACAGCCTTACAAGCCTTTTCTAGCCTACTACTCCAAATTCTTCCAACTTCTATTATCCAATTCCAAAGCTGCCTTCATGTTCTTGAAGAGTTATGGTAACGACTTCACTCCTCTGAACCAATTTTCTGTATTAGTCTGTTTTGTGTTGCTGATAATACAATACTATAAACTAGATTATAAAGAAAAGAGCTCATTTTGGTTCACGATTCTGGTTGAAGCTCAAGAGGCAGCATGAACAAGGGGTGATTATGGAAAAAGGGAGACGTGAGACTGAAAAGGCAAGTGGGGATGGCTGTGGCAGGCGTGGATACAAGGGGGGAGGGGGAGGGGGCAGTGGCTTTCCTAAGTACATAAAGTAAATAAATTTCACTTATATTAATTGAGGGGGATGGTGGGAGGCATGGGACAGATGCTGGGGGTTAGGTAGACATCTGATGAGAATCCGTGGAAGTTCTTTTTAAGGGATGAGAAAGAAATGACTTGCAGATAAAATATCCAGAGGAGCCAGGGTCTCCCAGAGGGCACAGCCTAAATTTGCTTAGCCAGAGTGATGACCCAGCTGCAGGTGTCCACTTGAAACTCCATGACCACTTCTTTGCTCACACACCAGAGGCCACACCCCACCATCTCTGATGGGTACTATCAAATGCTGCTACTAGAACCACAGCTCCTGCCCCCACTGCCACCAGTCTGCTTAGCTAAAGACCAGAATGTGCTTATGTTTGAGGTAGTCTATGTCTTGTTCCTGTACCCTAACTGCAAATGGTGTTAGGAGGGCCTGTAGCCAGTATTTTCAACTACTTCAGTATGGGAAACCACCTTGGCATGGTAAGGCAGAGACTTTCCAAACATAAACAGGGCCTTCAAATATTGAATATCTGCAAAAGAATTATAAATTCTAGGAGACAACATTCCTTATCCTCACTCCCCCAACCCCCCCACCACCTAACAAACACTACAAATTATTATATTGAAATGAATCCTAGGTAGCACATCATTTTGCCTGTCGATACTTCATTAGTATCTTTAGAAGATGACTTTAAAAAGTATACCCAATATAATTAACACAGTTAAAATGAGTAATTATTCCTTAATGTTATAGACTGTCCAGTGTTTAATTTCCCCACCCATGTCTCTTTATAATTGACTCGTTTGAACCAAAACTTGAATAAGTGTTCTAACTTACTCTTTTGTTTTTATCACCATTCAGTTTATTTGTTGAAGATATCATGTTGCTTGTCTTCTAGACAAACCTTCTAGATTTGTTTAACCTGTTTTTCTGCATCATAGATGTTGCTTAAATTTTTTACATTCTAGATGTAAAAGTTTGCATTCAAATTTATTTTTTTAGGAAGACTATTTCATAATTGTGACTTCCTACTGCATCACATCAGTGAGCCACATATTCTTTTCAGAATTTTCAGACTTCTATGTTTGGTCCAGCTATTGTCAGACTTTTCCAATCATTATAAATTTCCTTGTCAGCTATTCACCTTTTTGTTTTAGCAGCCACTGATGAAATTTACCTACATGCATTGAGTTACAAAATGTTCACTGGTTCTAGATTAATAAATTCAATTTTTAGAGCAATCTTAGTTGGAGCCTAAGAATTTCCCAGTACTGTTAAAGATGTTGTTTGGAGAACCAAATTTTAAGAATCACTTCTCTAAGTCAAAGTCTGGGTCCAGGCTAGGTAGACCATGGGGGCCTCCAAGCAATTCGGGCCCCACATACGGTTTCCCTCAAATCCATACATAGTAGGAATGTACACTAAATTACTGTAAAGTCAATTGCAATAATTTATTTCCATTTGTTTCAGCTACCAACTTAAAAAACATTTTTGTTTCATTTTGATGTTAAAGAATCGATTTTTAATTTGCTTATATTGTATTTAAGAAAACTATTTACATGATTTCAAAGTCAAATACACAAGATAGGCACATTCAAAGATGTCTAGCCTTCATTTCTATTTTCTATATTCTTTCACACCCAAGCCCATGATAAGCATATTTATTCATTTTTGGCTTATCCTTCCACTTTTTAAAATGGAGCAAAATACATTCTGTTCTGAACTTGGTTTTTTTTTTTTTTTTCACCTGAGATTTATATTCCTGAAATATATCTCTGTTGGTGGGTGAGGGTACTGGGGATTGAACCCAAGGGTGCTGTACCACTGAGCTACATCCTCAACTCTTTTTATTTTGAGACAGGGTCTCACTAAATTGCCCAGACTGGCTTGAACTTGGGAACCTCCTGCCTCAGTCTCCTGAATTGCCAGGATCACAGGCATGCACCACTGTGCCTGGCCTAATATATATCTTAACATGACTATTTCTAGGACTCTAGAAAGCTCCATGTTTTCATACACTCC